CCTAAACCTAAACCTAAACCTAAACCTAAACCTAAACCTAAACCTAAACCTAAACATAAACCTAAACATAAACCTAAACCTAAACCTAACTTAAACCTAGACCTAAACTTAGATCTAGATTCAGATCTAGACCTAGACCTAGACCTAACCTAAACCTGAACCTAGACCTAAACCTAGACCAAGACAAAGACCAAGACCAAGACCAAGACCAAGACTTAAATTTTTGCCAGTTTGGACCCGTGCACTGCTCTCCTCACTCCCACACTGCTTTCCCTCTGTTAGCCAATCACCGATCAGCATTTCTTCTCGGCCCGCAGGACAAAAATGCTGTTGTTACCAAAAGCATTGCCAGCAGCTAGCAACACAGTTCTTACACCCTTTCCTCTCTACCGCTCCTTTTTCTACTNGCTCCTTTTTCTACTGTACTCTTTTTCCTCCCCTTCCGCTCTGCTTCGCCAGCAGAATGGTGAGCATGCGCAGTAGCGACTGTGACACACACGGACACACGAACCAAGATTTTTTAATAACAGTAGGGGATAGGGGATTTGCAAATAAAAAATACAAATAATGAAATTAGAATAAAAAAATTAAAAACTGTTTTTAAAACTATAAAAAAGCAAAGTTTTTAACTGTAAATATTAATTCTTTGGTTTAAGTAAAAGTTTTGACTGGAGCGAGTAACATCACCTAACAAACCTACCCCTAAACCTAAACATAAACCTAGACTTAAACTTAGATCTAAGCCTAAACCAAGACCTAGACCTAAACCTAGATTTAAACCTAAACATAAACCTAAAATTAGACCTAGATCTAAACTTAAACCTAAACCTAAACCTAAACCTAAACTTAGACCTAGACTTAGACCTAGACCTAGACCTAGACCTAAGCCTAGACCTAGACCTAAACCTAGACCTAGACCTAATCTTTGACTTAAACCTAAACTTCAATCTAGATTTAAACCTAAACCTAAACATAGAATTAGACCTAGATCTAAACCTAAACCTAAACCTAAACCTAAACCTAGACCTAGGCCAAAACTTACACCTAAACCTAAACATAAACATAAAATTTCCAGTAAATCTACTTTAACGCGCGGTTCGCTCTGACTTGGACACTGTCAACTCCCGCCGCCTCGGTTCTGTGCACTGCTCTCCCCACTTTTCCACTGTTTCTCCCCTGTTAGCCAATCACCGATCATCATTCCCCCTTTGCACACAGGACAAAAATGCTGCCGTTACCAAAAGCACTGCTATTAGTTAGCAACACAGTTCCCCACCCCTTCCTCTCAACCGCTCCCTTTTCCACTGTACTCCTTTTCCTCCCTTTTCCGCTTNATTGTGTTTTAATCTTGAGCTAATTTTAAACCTATTACTTCAATAATTTTTTAATTTTTTAAATTAACATTTTTTATCTTAATTAAAAAGGTTTAAAGATAACAAAAATTAGCTTTAACTAATTATATAAACTTTAGTGGCAAAACAAGTTAAAATTAAAATTTTTTTTATTTTAAAACAATTTTTATTACAAAAATTAATTGTTTGCAAAATGAAATTCATGAACACTTTTTTAATATTTTTAACAGTGCTAATAACATTTATCTTTAATGCCACAACCGAACATGTTGAAATTGTTAAGAATTCAAATAATATTACTGTTTTTACTATTTTAAACAATGCTAGCGTTGAAATACCTAATCATTATCAAAACAAAATTTCAGTTTTAAAGTTTTCAATACATTCTACCACTATAGAAAATGTGACAACATTTAACAGCACTTCAAACCGCTGGTCGTTAAATCTTCAAGACAAAAGTTCTATTGAAATTATTTCTAACACTGTTCATACTAATGTGACTAAATATTCAATAGTTTGGCATCGCGAGTTTAACACTTCACATCGAGAGATTTGTCTACATTATCAAGAAAAATTTTGGTTTCAGGGTTATATGAGTAAAAATTCTGCTTGGCCAATGAATAAAAAAGATAAAATTGAAAAAGTTCAATTCAATTCAATGATGGAGTTTGATCGGTACACTGCTATATCTCCAAACCTTCATCTTAATGAAGAATTTCAATTTATTTTAGAGCATCTTTTTGTTAACTCAGATGGATTTGCAGTTCATTTAGACCACTTGCAACCGTTATTTGTTAGAAAAGATCCAAACGAAAATGATGCTTTAATTTGTTTTTCAGTTTTTGTGGATGATCATTTTTACCCAAAACATCATTTAAACGTCACCTCAGATTTAGATTTAAAACTTAAAATATTTACTTCAACCAATGCAAAAACTGTTGCAGACTACATTGTGCACAAATCACCGTATATTCCCAAACCGACTGAATTACCAAAAGACTTGTCTCTTTTCAAATATCCAACTTGGACCAGTGATGTCATTTTTGAGTTTGAACCAACTAAAAATTTGTTTGATGAAACGCACATTCATAATTTTTCTGCCAATTTACAAAAATACAAAATGTCTGATAAAAATGAATTTCTCATTGAGCATTATGAATGGCTTGATTATAGAAACAATTACACTATTGACAATAACACGTTTCCAAATATGAGTTCATTTGCCGATAGATTATTAGCTAAAGGAGTACAACTTGGTGGCTTGTTAACGTCACCGCAGTTTCTTACAAACACACACAAACACCCTGAATATGATAAGTATCTTCTTCACAACAAACACAATTTTTCTCTTTCGTATTTTGATTTAACAAAACCAGAAACAGCTGAATTTTATAAATTGTTATTATCTAAAGTTCACAACGAATATAAAATTAACACATTTTGGCTTAAATCGTTCACTTTTTGGGGAGCAGAGTTTTCCGATCCTTTAGTGAGCAAATATTGGAGTTTGTTTGTTACTCGATACATTGAAACTGCTTTTAAAGCATCCAACGCAACAGTAGTTACTGAAATGGCATACAAATCACAACACTTGCCAGTGTTTACTCGAATGATTTCGTATTACACAACATCAGCTAAACAAATGCTTAAGCATTTAATTCCTTCTGTGCTCTCAATATCACTTTCAGGCTATTCATTTATAATCCCTTTTCCTGTTGGTACTTTTAATGATGAATTTAAAAGTTTCAATTTTAATCATTTAAGTGAAGAACTTTATATTAGAATGGTTCAAGCAACTACTTTTATGCCATGCATGTCGTTTTCAAGAACACCATGGAACTTTACTGAAAAAACTGTTAACCTAACTAAAAAGTATCTAAATCTTCATTTAGAGCATTCTGAAGTTATTATTGAGCTAGCAAAAAAACGTATAAAAGATGGCACGCCTATTATTCGAAGTATGTGGTACAATTATCCAGATGACACTCACGCCTACACTATTGGTGATCAATTCATGCTTGGGGAGAATATTTTAGTTGCACCAGTGGTTGAAGAAAAACAATTGGAAAGAAATGTTTACTTTCCAAGCGGAAAATGGATTGATCAACATGGTAAAAGCTTTCAAGGTCCCTTAAATGTAAAAATTAAATCACCTTTGGAAGAATTGCCATATTTTAAATTGTTTAAAGGATAACAAAAACTAAAATGTTTTTAATGCTTTAAAGGTTAACATGTTAAAAAATAAAATTTTAAATTGCATTGAGTTAATTAATGAGTTCAATAATAGTGTCATACATTGTAAATGTTATGCCTGCATCAAGGCAAGCACGGCCAAGCCTTGGCACACATCCTTTGTACAAGGCCAGAGGGCCTTCATGTTTAACAATTTTTACAAAACAATCCCAAGTACTTCGGTATTTAGCTGACTCAAGACCTTGAAGTCTAGTTTTAATTACGTCAATGGGATTATTTCCATACACTGATACAGCACCGGCAATCATGCCAAAAGTGAAAGTTGCTAATTTGTTAACAGACGACTTGTTGTTTTCCTTTTTACTAAACCACTCTTTTAGTGTTTCAACAACAAAAAATCTTATTGCTTGATTAGATCCGTATTTGAGTATTGTCGGCGTTAAACCTTGATAAATTCCTTTCAAGCCATGTTCACGTGTTATTTGATGAATGCCATGAAAAAGTCCCCTGTATTTTGGCTGAAAAGAAACATTTTAATGTTGTTTAAGTATCAAGAAAAAACGAAAATACTTTTTTATTATTGAGATCATCAATAAACTTCACTTTGATTGTCTCTTTTGGAGTGACCACCAGTACTGCTTCCGTCACGCCAGCTGCAAATCCGCAAAGAACCTTTAAATGTGATGGCAAATGACCATCATTTTTCGCCATTTTGCTTTTCAAAGTTTCAAAAACACCAAATCGGATAGCGGCTTGCGGGATTTGCCCAACAACAAGAACAGAAAGTCCTCGATACAGTCCCAGTACACCATGGTTTTGAATAGTTTTCTGTGCCACATCAATAATTCCATTATATCGAGGGTGGGCACTGCGTTTGTCAAGTTGTAGCTGCGTTTTGATATACTCAGTCGGATAGGAAATGCAAGCTTCTGTTGCGCCGGTCAATCCACCAGCCACAATGCATTTGAACTTATTCTTTTTAGTTGAGCTTTCATTTGCTTTTGCAATCATGTCAACGTTTTAAATCAAAGTTTTAAAAAATGTAAACACACTTTTGGAGGATAAAACAACTATTTTGCAGTAATTGTCTCGCTTAACTATTTGTACCAAATGTTTTTATCAGTTAGTCCAAAGAGCAACTTGTTGTGAACTGACTAATAAGGGTAGTGAAACTCAAATTTATTGTACAAAATTTTTTGTTAAATAATGTTAAAATTCATAAAACTAAAAAATAATTTTATTGAAAATTTGTTTTAAAAAAATAATTATTTTTAATTACAAAAACTCAACAAAACATTGTGATTATCATAAAGATTATTTTTCAAGTAAAAAAATCTTGCCAAAAATGTACTTGGTACATTGTATCCATGTACTCGGTACACCAAATAAACGCAAAATGATATAAGTAGATAAATTTTTAGACTCAATGCAACAGTTACACTGAATGTAAACAACATGGACTGGTTAACAATTTTTGCTCAAGTTTTAGCCATTTTGGCAGTTTTTTATTTGTAAGTTGCTTTATTTTGAAAAATTGACTTGTTTACATATTGCTTTTTTAGTTACATTAAACACAAATTGTCATATTGGTCCAAAAAAGGCGTTCCACATCTTGAGGGAAATCCATTAACGCTTGGAATCAACTTTAAACTCTTCTCACAAGGCCCAGAAATCTACACCAAAGATCAATTTGAACGTTGTGGAAAAGTATATGGCGTTGCTTCAGCTTTCAGAAATGTGCTGGTCGTCAATGATGCTGAGTTGATTAAGCAAATTATGATTAAAGACTTTCATTTGTTTATGGACAAGCCCACTCAGGGCACTTGGGACGACATGTGGAACTTGAACTTGTTCATGTCTGGTGGCGATGCTTGGAAAAGAATACGAACTATTGTCAGGTATGTTTTATATGATTTAAGTGATTTATCAATAACAAATAACATTCTAGTCCTACTTTTACTTCTGGAAAACTTCGAGCAATGCATTCAGTGATGCATAATTGCGTGAAAATGCTGGTTAATCATTTGGAAAACGTCGCAAACCCATCAGCTGAAGTAAACATCAAGGAAGTGATTACTGGATTTACAATTGATGTAAGTTAATGAAAAAGTTGGTTTATTATTTTTATAATTTTTTGTTTTTAAGGTCATTGCAAGTACTTCTTTTGCAACTCAAACGAATGTCAACTCTGATCGAAACAAAACTAATCCATTTGTTGAACATGGCATTAAATTGTTTCACTTTAAACCTTTGAAAATATTTTCAGTCTTTTTGATGCCAATGTGGTTTAACAACTTGTTGGGAATTCGTTCACAATTCGATCCAGAGCATTTTGATTTTTTCGGCAATTTGGTTAAAGAGATAGTCAAGCAAAGGAAGTCTGGTCAAAAACGAGGAAACGATTTTGTTCAGTTGTTGATGGACGCCTATGCTACTGATAATGAACTGAAAGAATTAAATTTTGAAAAACTCATTGCTGATATGGATAAAGATGGTAAATCAGTTGTTTAATTTTATTTTTATACTTTATCTGTTTCCTAACATCAATATTTTGAAATTTTTTAGAAAACACATCATTCAATGAAAAAAAGCGTTTGGAATCATCTAAGAATTCATTGAGTGATTCGGAAATTGCAGCTCAGTGTCTCATTTTCTTCGTTGCAGGTAAAATATTGTTTATTTAATACTGTTTTAATACAATTTTTTTTCTAAATTAATCAAAATACTTTAAAGGGTAAGTTCATTTAAAATGTGTTGAAACAATTATTAATAACCTTTATTTTTATTAATTTCTGTTTAGGTTTGAAACGACTTCAAGCACAATCACGCACTTGCTGTATGAGCTGGCTCTGAACCCGACAGTTCAAGAACGCTTGCGCGAAGACCTTGTCCAAGCACTGGGCGACTTGGATGTCACTTCTGAAGAGTACTTTGACGTTGTCATGAATGGCCTGCCGTATTTAGAAGCAGTCACAAAGGAAACACTACGAAAGTATCCTCCGCTGATTCGTCTTGAGAGAAGACTAAGCGCTGATAGCTACAAGTTGAATGGAATTCCAATTGAAAAGAGCACTAATGTCGTCGTCAGTTCATATGCAGTGCATCACAATGCAGGTAAAACAATGCTTTATTTTTTACAACAGTCTTAAAGTACAAAACAAGTTAACTTATCTATTGTTTTTTTGCTCATTTCAGAATACTATCCGAATCCAGAAAGCTTTGATCCTGAACGGTTCATGCCAGAGAATAAGCACAAACTGGTTCCATACACCTACTTGCCGTTCGGCACTGGTACGTTTTTTACATGATTACCAGTAGTTTCAGTTGTTATGAACTTGTTTTTTCTTTCCTAAGGTCCTCGAAACTGGTAAATTCAAATTGAATTTAAATTCTGAATTTCAAGTTTCTACCTTGTTCTAAAAGTGTACTTAAAAACTTTTCTTTTTACAGTATTGGCATGAGGTTCGCTTATCAAGAAATCAAGCTGGTTCTATCTCAACTAGTTCAAAAGTTTCAGTTCAGTCCCACTGAAAGCACCCCAAATGTTCTCAAATTTAAAGGATCGTCTTTGCTTCTTACGCCCTATCCGTTTGAGCTAAAAGTTGAACGATTATAATAACTGTGTTTAAATAAATTTGAAAAATTGAACTGACAATATTGGTTTTGCAATTGACGCAAGTTAGTTGCTTGCTTACTTTTATCAACAATAAACACATTAAGTTCAAAACTCGCACTCTATAAGTTTAAACCAATCGTTACATAGCAAAATCTGATGTGCTTATCTAATAATTTTCCGTAAGTAAATCAGTTAACACTTTCAAGAGCAATATCAGAAGGTTTGCTATCTTGGCGTTGATCACACATCACCAACTGGCTTTTACTAGCCTGAACAACACCGTGTTCAGTTGAGACGCTGATAACGGTGCTTCTTTCTTTCTCTTCAAAGTTTGTTCTGTTCTGATAAAGACAATATCAAGTTACAGTGAGAGCACCGAGCGGCAAAGAAAAGCAGTGCCCTGTGTTTTCCCAGGTTTTAACTAACGCCAAGTTAGAGTTGTCTTTGCTTGCTTTTCCAGCCCAAACTGCAGGCGCTTTTATCTGCCAAGTTGCACGCTGTTCTTCAGTATTTTCTTCACGTCAGATTACAGGGTGACGTTTTTCCTACATAAAGCTGCACTTGTCTACTGACACATCTGGTTTGCCTCTGAACTTGAAATACACTTGGAACTGTGTCAACCTTCTTATTCAATACCAGTTGCCAGCATTGTCTTTATCAGCGACGCTGCATAAATCCCCCGCTAAAGCTTATCAACTATTGTCGTTTATCAGAGTTTTTCATTTTCACCTTTTCCACTCTTTTTTTTCCGTTACCCTTTGTAACTTTAATACTTTCAAACGCTGTTAATCTTTGAACGGAAACTATTGCCTTTTAAACTCGTTCAAAACTTCAATGCCATGTGTCAGTTAAAAATAATCTACTTACTTATTTGCCTTGTGAACGTTGTTCACATGTTAAAGTACCCACCGTCGCTTTATCTTCAGCCCAATCAAATGATGGTCATCAACTCGTCGCTTTCTTTGAAGATGCCCTGCCTTGCCACTGGATATCCTAAACCCATGTACCGCTGGAAAAAAGATGGCAATGAGCTCAACTTTCGCAATGATTCTCGAATAAGTGACTCGTTAGAGAAAGGCACATTTGAAATTGCCAATCCAATTGCTGCCGACTCTGGAGTGTACCAGTGCATTGCTGAAAATCAATTTGGAAAGGCCTTTTCTCACTTGATTTTTGTACAAGAAGCTACTGCTATTGAGCACTTTTTGTTCCAAAACGCCTCAGATAAACAAGGTAATGCTTGGGAAAGTTAAGAATTGAGAGTAACTTTTTGATTAACAACATGTTGAACTTTTTAGCACCTACTTGGCTGAAAACGCCCAACAACACACTGGACATTACTTCTCGACAACTGGTGTTTGAGTGTGAGGCAGCAGGCGTTCCTACGCCAACAGTTCAGTGGCTGAAAAACGGTCAACCAGTACGAGCTAACTCGCGCATCAAAGTTGAAGCCACCAGGCTGACCTTTGATCCAGTTCTGGGCGACATCGACACTGCCGTGTACCAGTGCAACGCCAGCAATGAGGTTGGCTATGCCTTCACCAACTTCTACCTGAACGGGCTTAAATTTGCGCCCACCATCTCCGACTTTGCGCACAAGGAGCTGCTCATCATGAGCAAGACAGACGTCGAGCTGAACTGCCACGCCGATGGCTCCCCAAAACCCAACATCACCTGGGAGAAAGACGGCCTTCCGATAACCAGCGGCCCAAAGTAAGTAAAAAAAAGAAAATGTACACTAATCCCTCTGTGCTGTAGCGACCACTTGTTATCTTGATATTACAGATTTTTTGTTTCCGAAGGCCTGCTCAGGGTGGCGAACACCTCGGAGAAGGACGCCGGCGAGTACCGGTGCACTGCCTCAAATGCCCTCGGCGACGACTACCAGGCCACCCGCTTCATCATTCTCAACGCGACGCGAATCGACAGTCCGCCCGCCAACAAGAGCGTCCTGGTGGGCATGGACGCCCGGTTCGCCTGCCGGGCCATCGCCGACTCCAACCTCAACCTGAAGGTGCAGTGGAAGTTCAACGGCCGGCGGCTGGACCCTTCGGGCGACAGCCAGCAACGCCGCAGGTGGCAGGTGGACGCCGACAACACGCTGCACATCAGGGGCGTGGTCGAGGCCGACCTGGGCCGCTACACCTGCGTCGCCTCGACGGAGCGCGACAGCGCGGAGGCCTCCGCCACGCTCCGCCTCCACGACGTCCCGCAGACGCCCAAGATCAGCAAGGTCACCTGCAATGGCGTGCTCGCCTCGGTGGAGTGGACGCCGCCCCGTTCAGCGGACGAGGCCCTGCCCATACTCTCCTACGACATTCAGATCAGCCACTCCTTTGAGCCGCACCTCTGGACGCCCGTCTTCACGCACATTCCCATTGTTTTGGACGACGGTGGACATTCACAGACGCCCGTCCAGCGGACCGTCGTCCCGCTGCGCCCCTGGACGCGATACTCCTTTCGCCTGGTGGCGCGCAACGCCGTCGGCGTCAGCAAGCCCAGCATTCCCTACGGCTTCTGCTCCACCAAGAGCTTTCCGCCCTTCAAGCACCCGGAGAATGCCAGTGCGGTGGCGGACGCTCCGGGCACGCTAATCGTCAGCTGGAATGAGATGAACCAGACGGAGCACAATGGCGAAGGCTTCCTCTACAAGGTCTTCTGGAAGGCGGCCGACAAGGAGGTGGTGGCGGCGGCGGCGGCCGATCAGCAGCAGCAGCAGCAGTGGCAGTGCGTTAAAATCTGGGACTGGCAGCAGACCTCGGTGACGCTGCAGGATCTAGGCATTCACAAGCAGTACCGAATTCGCGTCGAGTCGAAGAACAACAAGGGACACCCGAACAAAAGTGCACCGGAGATCCTCGCCTGGTCTGGAGAGGGAAAACCGCTGAAAGGCCCTAAAAACTTGAGGTTAGTTAAGGTGGTGAGTGAGAGCAGCGCAATTTTTAGCTGGGACCCGGTGCCGGCCAAGTTCATTCAAGGCAAGTTCAAAGGCTACAAAGTCACTGTAAAAGCTGGCGAAAAGTTTGAACACACTGAAATTGTGAACACAGGTGAAACCACACTTTTACTTAATTCATTAAACTCAAGTTTGATCAACTTTGTAAAAGTTACCGTTTTAAATTCAACTTACGAAAGTGAAGCAAGCAATGAAGTTCAAGTAAATTTTTCGCAAACTTAAATAAAACATTTTCACCAAGTTGCAAACAGCTTTTTGTTTTATTTAATAACTTTAAAACTATTTATTTTTTGTTTTTAAAAGTAATGTTTTTAAAAACTTACAAACTTTTATTACAAACATACTGTCTTAAAACAAAATTGTTACAAATATTTTAATAAATTGTTAAAAATGTTAATTGTTTTATCTTATTTATCAGTATAAACTATTTATCTAACATTAGACTAAAATTTTTGATTGATTAACAAAGTGTCACTAATTTTATAACTTCCAACTTTATTTTTAATGTTTTCATTTATATTTTCAAAATGAAAAAAATATTTCAATTTGTATTAATTATTTCAACAGCACTAGATATTTGTTTGCTAAGTGAAATTACAAACAAGATAGATGTTAACACATTCAATCAGAACTGCACAACAAATGTTGATTGCCGACAAAACTTTATTTGTTCATCTAATCATCAATGCGTTTGTTCATTTGGTTTTATTTTGGAAAAACAAACAATTAATAACACTCAAACAGTTGTTTGCACAAAAGTTAATTGTGACAAATGCAGTACTTTTTTTGGCATAAATTCACAATGCAATAAAAATGGTAGTTGTTTTTGCAATGAACCAAACTTTATAAGCTCAAATAACCAGTGTATTTCATTAATTGGAAACGAATGTCAACAAAACTTGGATTGCGGCAAAAATTCAGTTTGTAATTCAGAATCAAAATGCGTTTGTAAATTTGGTTATCAAGCAGATTCACACAATTTAAATTGTACCCAATATCAATGTCAAACACAAAAAGATTGTGCAACAAAATTTGGACAAAAAACTCAGTGTCGTGCGCCTAGTAACTCAAATATAGCTCCTTTTTGTGATTGTGAAAATCCAATTGATTATTTTAAAAACGTCACAACTCAACTTTGCGACAAACGGAAAACTAGACGTGAATGTTCTCAGGATGAAGATTGCAAATTGAAAGGAATTTGTCAAAATCGAGTTTGCCGTTGTAAATATGGATATGTGCCTAATGAAAACGACGATTGCAAGCAGTTTCAATGTTTTAGTGATTTAGAATGTGAAAACCTATTTAAATTTTCAAAATGTGTATCAAAAAACAAACAAGCAAGTTATTGTATCATGAAGTCTTTAGAAAAACCAAAATTATTGTCAATTCATTTTTCATTTATTTTAGTTTTCTGTTGCGTGTTTAATTTTATTCATTTGTTTTATTTTTAATAAATTTAAAATATTTTTTTGTGTAAAATATTGGTTGTTTTTAAAAAAATGTAAAAGATAAAGAAAACTGCGTTTGCAAAGTTAAGTGAACCATAAAAGTACTAATGATGGTAATTGTGCGCAATAATAAATGTCTGAAAATGAAGTTCAGAACACTGCACCAGTACAAACGTAGTACTTTATTTTTTTGCCCAACAATGGTTCATTTGCGATTGCATGTTTCTGCACTAAAGTGCAGTGTTGGAGGTTCAACAGATGATACAAACACAAAATGGATAGTTTTGT